TTCCAGGATTTACACCCAATGACACTGAAGGAACAGTGATACATTCCCAACTCAGGATTGTGAGTGGCTTGGAGGGGAACTTGCAGGGTTTGGTGTTCCCATGTATCTGCTGCCCTTGTCCTTCTAGATGGAAGTGGTCATGCATTTGGAAGGTACAGTATGAGGTGCCTTGGTGAATTTCTGCAGTGCATCTTGTGGATAGTACACGCTGCTGCTACTGAATGTTGGTGGTGGTGGGAGTGAATGTTTGCGAATTTGGTTCCAGTCAAGCGGGCTGCTCTGTCCTGGAATGGTGTCAAGCAGTTTGATTCTTGTTGGAGCTGCACTCATCCAGGCAAGTGTGAGTATTCTATCATACTCCTGAGTTGTGCTTGTTGATGGGAACAGGCTTTGGGAAGTTAGGAGGTGAGCCACTGATCTGCTCTTGTAGCTACTCTATTGATATGGCTAGTCCAATTCAGTTTCTGGTCAATTGTAACCCTGAAGGTGCTTATAGTGAGGGTTCAGTGATCATAATACCATTGAATTTCAAGAGGCAGTTGTTAGATTCATCTGTAATTACAGACATCGTTACCTGCCATTTGTGTGGTGTGAGTGTTACTTGCTACTTTTCAGCCCAACCCTCAATATTGTCCAGGTCATTGCCACATTTGGACATATGCTTAAGTATCTGAGGAATAATGAATGGTGCTGAATATTGTGCAATCATTGGTGAACTTCCCTACTCCTGACCTTCTGATGGAGGGAAAGTCATTTATGAAACAGCTGAAGATGGTTGGGTCTAGGTCACAAACCTAAAGAGCTTCTCCAGAGTTGTCCTGGAGCTGAGATGATTGACCTTCAACAACCAGAACCATGTTCCTATATGCCAGGTATGACTATAGCCAATGGAGAGTTTTCCCATAATTCCCATTAACCCAGGCTCCTTGATGCCATGCTTTTCAGACAATGATTATTTTCAGACAAGTGGGAAGGAAAGATTAGGAATAATTGTCCTTGACATATGGTTTAAAAAATTTTCTAGCAGGGAAGGTGGTGGTAGAGTCATAATTTTGCTGGACTGGTAATCCAGAGGCCCAGACTGATGTTGTGGGTTCAACTCCCACAAAGGCAGCTGGTGGAATTTAAATTTAACTAATAAGCTTAGAACTGTAAAGTTAGTGTCAGTAATGGTGTTTGTGAAACTAGTGTTAGAGGCATAGAGATATACAGCATGGAAACAGACCCTTCATTCCAACTCATCCATGCCGGCCAGATATCTTAAATAAATCTAGTCCCACTTGCCAGCATTTGGCTCATATCCCCCTAAACCTTTCGTATTCGTAGACCCAACCAGATGCCTTATAAATGTTGTAATTGTATCAGCCTCCACCACGTCCTCTGCCAGCTCATTTCCATATATGCACCATGCTCTGTATGAGAAAGTTGCCCCTTATGTTCCTTTTATACCTTTCCCTTCTCACCTTAGACCTATGCCCTCTAGTTGGGGTCCCCCAACCCAGGGAAAAGGTCTTGCCCATTTACCCTATCCATGGCCCTCATGACCTTATAAACCTTTATAAGGTCACCCCTCAGCCTCTGACGCTCCAGGGAAAATAGCCCCAGCCTATTCAGCCTCTCTCCACAGCTCAAACCCTCCAACCCTGGCAACATCCTTGTATATTTTTCTGAACCCTTTCTAGTTTCACAACATCATTTCTATAGGACGGAGGTCAGAATTGCATGCAATACTCCAAAAGTTGTCAAACCAATGTCCTGTACAGCCACAACATGACCTCCCAACTCCTGTACTCAATGCACTGACTAATAAAGGCAAGCGTACCAAATGCCTTCTTCACTATCCTATCTACCCTGCGACTCTACTTTCAAGGAATAATGAACTTGCACTCCAAGGTTTCTTTGTTCAGCAACACTCCCCGGGACCTTACTATTAAGTGTATAAGTCCTGCCCTGGTTTGCCTTTCCAAAATGCAGCATCTCACATTTTTCTAAATTAAACTCTATCTGCCACTCCTTGCTGCCCATTGGCCCATCTGATCAAGGTCCCATTGTAGTCTGTGGTAACCTTCTTCACTGTCCACTACATCTCCAGTTTAATTGTCATAAAAGCCAGAATTTGAATGTTGCTGTTATCTGTTTTAGTTCTTGATACTTCTTGCTGAACTATATTATCATTGCTGTTAAAACTCTGATGAAGTCATCTAGACTTGAAATATTAGCTTGCTGTCTGTCCATGGTTGCTACCTGACCTGTTGTGATTTCCAACATTCCTTATTTTCAGCTCAGATTCCAGCATCTGTAGTAATTTGCTCCTATCTGATCATTGATTTTCTTCGCAAAGAGAGTGAGTTTGTTCCCTAGCCTTCGACTCTGCATTCCTAGCTCCCTCACTCTTTCCTTCTGTCTGCCCAAAACAGTTTCTTGAGATGCAAGCTTTGTGTGTATTTCCCTGTTTGAGTTTCTCCAAGATTTACAATTAAGGGGGTGTTTTACCCATGTAAACATTGTGAAGTGTGAATGAGTGTCTTCTTATGTCTCCCTGGCAGGGTGCTTGCTGGCTGGGTTCATTGCCTTTCATTAAAGTGCTAATTCAGCTCAGCTGTCTGTTGCTGAATTCACATCGAAACTTGACCATTTATGGTCAGGTGGTGATTATGGCTATGTGGAGTCAGTTTTGGTTGTTTTTTCATACTATCATTGAATCCCTAAAGTGTGGAAACATGCCATTTGGCTCAACAAGTTCAAACCAACTCTCTAAAGAGCATTCCATCCAGACTCACCCCCCCTTACCCTATCCCTGTAACCCTGTAATTCCCATGGCTAATCCACCCAACCTACACATCTTCGGACTGTGGGAAGGAACTGGAGCACCCGGAGGAAACCCACACAGACACGGGGAGAATGTGCAAACTCCACCCAGACAGTCACCCAAGGCTGGAATTGAACCCAGGTCCCTAGCGCTGTGAGGCAGCAGTGCTAGCTACTGTAATGCCTCGGTGTTTTTAAACACCATTCTAGTCCCTGGGAATACCAGGTATTAAATCAAGCTATGGAATTCAAGCACAGTAGCCCATGCTTTTGCATGATCATAGTTGATCATCAATCAACATATTCGTCCAAATAAATATGAATAATATTAATAGTACAAAGTAGTTACTCGGTCTTTGTTTACATTTTCTAATATTTGGAATTCATCTGGTTTTGGTCACCATATTGGTAGGATTTGGATATTGACTCTTGTTTCTTGAGGTATGAGGAGAGTCACTATAAGATATGGTGTGGTAAGAGATGGCCTATTTCTCCAGTTGGCTCTGGAAATTAGATTAAAATTAGTTAACCTAAAAAATTGTATATTATATCTCCTTCATTACTATTCGATGTCTGAAATGTGTTACAGCCAATTATGTACTTTTGAAATGTACAGCATTCGCAGTTTCAGCTAATTTTTCACATCAGACTCTTGTGAGCAGCATAGTCAGTTGTCCCATGATTCTAAGGTGACGTTGACTGATTGTAGATATCTTGTGAATGAACAGGCCAGTTCTTGACCTGCAGATCTTTTTGGCACTTGGGGAAGGGCATTCCACTAGGTTCTGGGATCCAGAGTGTAGGTCTGTGCTCCTTTTATTTTCATGCTTTGCTGCTCTTCCACATCATTAAGATACTTAGACTCAACATGAAACTTGATGGACAAGTTCACAAAATCATAGAAGTGGTATGGTGGGGAGGGGATCATTTGGCTTATCATGTCTACACCAGCTCTCCTTATAAGCATCATGACTTGCATCACTCTCCTGACTTTTCACATATCTTTCATGGATTTTTCACTAAAATATTCATCCATTGCCACATCTTGAATACCTAATTGATCCTGCCTCCACCACACTTCCATGACTGAACCACTCATTGTGTGAAAATGTTTCTTCTCGCATCAAAGAAGCAAATGTGATTTCAAATCTGTGCTATCTCTCAAATCTGTGCCCTCCTGTTTTTGATATCTTTGCTAATGAGAACAGTTTCTCCCAGCTACTCTAGCCATCCCCTCATGATATTGAAGGTCCCATCAGATCTCCCCCAACTTCTAACTTTTTATTAGGATTGTAATATTTAAGTTTAGTTTTGTTTCTTTATTTTTCTACTTTGTAGCTAAGGTTTTGCACCTAGGTACCTTTGCACCTAAGAAGGCACTAGGAATGGCAACATTGTACATTTTTCAATGCACTTGTGTTTCTGTGCTTGAGTGCACAGGATAATAAAATCTAATTCTAATTCTAATTCAAAAAGTACAATTCTGGGAATTACCAGACTGACCTCTAAAGTTTTCTATTATTTATTGAGTAATTATGTGACTAGCATACCAATATAACAGGAAGTCACAAAATTCAACAAGAAAATCTTCCTCATGATGTTTGAAATTGGAATAGAGTGCCTCTCACTGATTAGTACAATAGATTAAAATTAACTTGTGAGACATCTTTATTATGAGTAGAGAATGGCTGGTTGTTGTATACCTTCCTGAGACTGTGTTGGTAGGTGAAGGTTGGGGGCTAATGGTAGTGAAATTGGCTGGCATGGTAGGCTATCCCTGCTACTTTCCATGTAAGACCTAAGGCACAGGAGCAGAAGTAGGCCATTCAGCCCATTCAGTGCTCTAAGTCATTCATTGAGATCGTGGCTGATCTCATAATCCTCAACTCCACTTTCCAGTCTTATCCCATAACCCTTGATTTCTTACTGATTCATGGCTGAGATAGACAGCATGTTAATGATGTTAATGATCCAGCATCTGCAGTACTCTGTGGTAAACAATTCCACAGATTTACTTCTGTCTTAAAGAAAAGAAATCCTCATTTGCTGTTGCTGGAATTTTGCCAACAGTGGTATAGGTCTCAAATCTGCCTTGGGCCAGTTGAGGCCCTTAAGGGGCCAATTAATGGCAATTGGTCTAACAAGTTGTGTGAGTCATTTTTAATCTTTAAATATTTCTCTCTGTCAAACAGAAACAAGGTTCCACTTGGTCTTCACGCAAACCTTTCTGAGGGCCTGCCTGTCTGTCACCAACTCCGAATGGGTTCTTCCCTTGTCAACAAGGATGGCTTTTTCCATGGGAAGATGGGAATTAGGGAAGTACTGAAGAGTGGCCATATCAACCTGTCTGAGGTACACTGAACCAAGTACAGAATTCCACCATAATTAAACATGTAATCATTTCGCTACACCTTTTAGGAGAGATATCATGGAAACTCATGACATAAGGATAAGGATTGCTCATAAAAGGCATTCTCATTGTAAATATCAAATAACAAGAGATTTGTAACCTTATCCAAGTTTACAAATTACATGTATTTAAAGCATGCAGTTGCAGTTTGTGGATTTATTTTAATCCTTAAATTTGGGATGTTCCCACCATCCATTATGTTTTATGTCTCTAGGAAAAATTATTTTTAAATTCTCCAACTTATTGGGCAGAACCTTGCGGGTTTGGAAGGTACCTTGTGTTCTCTACCAATGCTGGCTGGTGTCTGCTGGATATTCTGTGCACAGTCAGGGGCCATCAGCTGTAGCTTTTGGCAGTGCCATGGAAGACGCTGTGGCTCCTGCTGGCACAGCACAGTCCCGGATTCCTATGATGGTGGAGTGACCCAGGAGAAAGGTGGAGGTTGCTGGGGGTGAGGGCAGTTTCACTCTCTCAGGTAGCCGTAGGGAGTGCGGATTGGACACAAGGGTCCACCCCCCCTCACCCCCTCGATCATGTGGAAGCGACTGCATATCAAGGGCACCCACACCCTCCCAGCTGACAGGCATGCGTACACAGGATTTACCTGCCGCTTGGTATTTGTCTTGCCGGGAGCTGAGAAAATTGTAGCCCAGGGGAGAGGGGGCTATTGTCGTTGTCCAATTTTGAAGTGGGAGTGTGGCTGGAAAGTAGCTCGTGGGTCTCTGTGCCTGGAACCTTCTTATCATAGATCATAGATTCCCTACAGTGTGGAAACAGGCCCTTTGGCCCAACAAGTCCACACCGACCCTCAGACATCCCACCCCATCTACATATCCCTGAACACTACGGGCAATTTAGCATGGCCAATCCACCTAACCTGCACATCTTTGGACTATGGGAGGAAACTGGAGCACCTGGAGGAAACCCACGCAGACACTGGGAGAACGTGCAAACTCCACACAGACAGTCGCCCGAGGGTGGAATAGAACCTGGGTCCCTGGTGCTGTGAGGCAGCAGTGCTAACCACTGAGCCACCGTGCCGCCCGACGGTGTCTGTCCCAAAGACAATCATCTCAATTGCTAGGCCTTCAGCCTCCTCCCTTGTTTCCCTGCAGGCCTGGAATATTCCAGCCAATTTTTTTTTTTTTTTTTTTTTTTTGCTACTGTGCATCCTGGTGCTTTGGTGTTCAAATTCTTAATTATGTCATGTGAAATCATACGGAAGAAGCTGCCTGTTTATTATAAGGAAAGACAGGCATGGAGACTCAGTGGTTAGCACTGCTGCTTTGCAGCACCAGGGATCCAGGTTCGATTCCACCCTTGGATGACTGTCTATGTGGAGTTTGCACATTCTCCCCGTGTCTGTGTGGGTTTCCTCCCACAGTCCAAAGATGTGCAGTTTAGGTGGATTGGCCATGCTCAATTACCCTGTGTTCAGTGATGTGTAGGTTAGAAGTGTTAGCCACAGGAAATGCAGGGTTACAGGGTTAGGGTAAGGCGATGGGTCTGGGTGGGATGCTTTTCAGAGGATCAGTATGGGCTTGTTGGGCCAAATGGCCTATTTCCACACTGTAGGGATTCAGTGGATTCTTCTTTGACCTTATCTAACAGACTGATTTTCCCTCTCTAGTCTAGTTCCAACTAATTTATGTGGAATTGAAAAGTGGAGAACATATCTCAAAATTCTTACATATTCTTTCACTTCTACTCTTATTTTTCCCTTCTAAAGCTGGACATGGCACAAAGTGGGCAAAGCTGGAGCTGGACCTGTATCTATCCCATACTTCAGACATGCCTTCCTTCCCTCCTACGATCCATCATTTCAGACTTAAAATCATACAATCTCTACAGTGTGGAAACGGGCCATTTGGCCCATCTTGTCCACATCAACCCTCCAAAAAGCATCCCACCCAGGCCCAACCCTCTACCCTGTAACTCTGCATTTCCCATGGCCAATCCACCCTAACCTGCACATCTTTGGGCTGTGGGAGGAAACTGTAGCACCTGGGGGAAACCCACGCAGACACGGGGAGAACGTGCAAACTCCGCACAGACAGTCACCCGAGAGTGGAATCGAACTCTGTTGAGGCACCAGTGCTAACCACTGAGCCACCATGCCACCCTTCGGACTATTCTAAAGTGGATTGCAATAGCTAAATCAATGTCTGTGGACTGCGGCACAGCTGCATCATGATGCTATGTTTGGATTTTCTAATGATATTTGTAAATCATACAAAATTGTTCCCATTACACTAGAGATTATTTTTCCCCAAAACACCATCTGTATTTGCTGCTGGTCTATGAAACTCTGTCCATGGCCTATTTTTTAAAGATGTAATAACTAATTTTTGTGTCAGTACGGAAATCTTCCATAGATCTGTTTGAAATCTCACTGTGCATTGGTCCAGATTGATGCTTTCCTGGCAAATTTGTAAGCATCCAGGACATCATTGCAAAAAATTAATCTTTTCACCTACTTCATCCATCATTAAGTAAATGCTGTAGATAATATAATTGTTCTACAACTTATAAACGTCTCTATACTTGTGTTTATAGCAGCTCATGAATATGTCTGTCCCTTCCCCTATAATCCTACTCCTACCATACAATACTTGTGCTAAATAAATGCAAGCTGTTGTTGTATTAAGTACTTAATCATTCTTTACTTCACTTTTCTATTCATTTGTGGGATGTGGGCGTTGCTGGCTGGCCAGCATTTCTTGCCCATCCCTAGGTGTCCTTGAGAAGGTGGTGGTGTGCTGCCTTCTTGATCCGCTGCCATCCCCCAGCTGTAGGGTGACCCACAATGCCCTTAGGGAGGGAATTCCAGGATTTTGACCCAGCGACAGGGAAGGAACGGCGATATATTTCCAAGTCAGGATGGCGAGTGGCTTGGAGGGAAACTTGAAGGTGGTGGTGCTCCCATATATCTGCTGCTCTTGCCCTTCTAGATGGAAGTGGTCGTGGGTTTGGAAGGTGCTGTCTGAGGATCTTTGGTGAATCTCTGCAGTACATCTTGTAGATAGTACACACTGCTGCTACTGAGTGTCGGTGATGAAGGGAGTGGATGCTTGTGGATGTAGTGCCAATCAAGTGGGCTGCTTTGTCCTGGATGGTGTCAATCTTCTTGAGTGTTGGGTCTGCACCCATCCAGGCAAGTGGGGAGTATTCCATCACACTCCTGACTTGTGCCTTGTAGATGATGGACAGGCTTTGGGGAGTCAGGAGGTGAGTTACTCACCGCAGTATTCCTACCCTCTGACCTGCTCTTGTAGCCACACTGTTAATGTGGTGAGTCCAGTTGAGTTTCTGGTCAATGATAACCCCGAGAATGTTGATAATGGGGGATTCCGTGATGGTAACACCATTGAATGTCAAGGGGCGGTGGATAGATTGTCTCTTATTGGTGATGGTCATAGCCTGGCATTTGTGTGGTACAAATGTCACTTGCCACTTGTCAGCCCAAGCCTGGATATTGTCCACATCTTGTTGCATTTGAACATGGACTGCTTCAGTATCTGAGGAGTCACGAATGGTGCTGAACATTGTGCAGCCATCGGCGAACATCCCCACCTCTGACCTTATGGTGGAGGGAAGGTCATTGATGAAGCAGCTGAAGATGGTTGGGCCGAGGACAACCCCCTGAGGAACTCCTGCAGAGATGTCCTGGAGCTGAGATGATTGACCTCTCACAACCACGAACACCTTCCTATGTGTCAGGTATGACTCCAACCACCGGAGCGTTTACCCCGATTATTGATTCCAGTTTTGCTAGGGCTCCTTGATGCCACACACAGTTGAATGCAGCTTTGATGCCAAGGGCTGTCAGTCTTACCTCACCTCTGGAATTCAGCTCTTTTGTCCATGTTTGAAACAAGGCTGTAATGAGTTTAGGAGCTGAGTGACCCTGGCGGAACCCAAACTGGGTGTCACTCAGCAGGTTATTGCTGAGCAGGTGCTGTTTGCTAGCACTGTTAGTGACACCTTCCATCACTTTACTGATGATTGAGAGTACACCGCTGGGGTGGTAATTGGCCGGGTTGGATTTGTCCTGCTTTTTTTTTTGTGTTCAGGACATACTTGGGCAATTTTTCACATTGCTGGGTAGATATCAGTGTTGCAACTGTACTGGAACAGCTTGGCTAAGGGAGCGGCAAGTTCTGGAGCACAAGTCTTCAGTACTATTGCCAGAATATTGTTAGGGCCCATAGCCTTTGCAGTATCCAGTGTCTCCAACCATTTCTTCATATCACATGGAGTGAATCGAATTGGCTGAAGACTGACATCTGTAATGCCAGGGACCACTGGAAGAGAGGCAGAGATGGATCATTTAGTTCTGGCTGAAGATTGCTGCAAATGCTTCAGCCTTATCTTTTGCACTGATGTGCTTGGCTCTTCCATCATTGAGAATGTGGAGCCTCCTCGTCAAGTGAGTTGTTTAATTGTCCACCACCATTCATGACTGGATGTGGCAGGACTGCAGAGCCTAGATCTGATCTGTTGGTTGTGGGATCACTTAGCTCTGTCTATCACCTGCTGCTTTTGCTGTTTGGTGTGCAAGTAGTCCTGTTTGCTGGCTTCACCAGGTTGACACCTCCTTTTCAGGTATGCCTGGCATGCTCTCCTGCACTCTCCATTGAACCAGGGTTGATCCCCTGGCTTGATGCTAATGGTTGAGTGAGAGATATGCCAGGCCATGAGGTTACAGATTGTGCTGGAGTACAATTCTGCTGCTGTTGATGGCCCACAGTGCCTCATGGATGCCGAGTCTTGAGTTCATAGATCTGAGCGAAGTCTGTCCCATTTAGCATGGTGATAATGCCACACAACACGATGGAAGTTATTTTCAATGTGAAGGCGGGACTTCATCTCCACAAGGACTGTGCGATGGTCACTCTTACCGATAATGTCATGGACAGATGCAACTGCAGGTTAGTAAGGC